AAAAAACACAGTGCCTTTAAACCGTGCTAACAATTTCTGTTAGGCAGTCAAACTTTAGGTTTTTAGTATAGATCACTTTAACCCATTGACGCCGACGTCACACAAATATGCGGCCTCACAGAACTTGGCTTTTTGCCGTGGGGCCGCATGTTTGCGTACCTGTCTTTGTGCTGGGAGTGTGCCGCAGCACAAGGATCGGGGTGTCACTGAGAGCCCCAGGTCCCGTTCTAATGATTCAGACCGGGACACCCAATTCTGGGTCACATGATCGCTGTGATAGCCCCTGATTGGCCGTCACAGTGATCAGTCACTCTGAAGCCCACCCCCATTGTTTTTTTCCTCTCTGAATGGAGGAGAGAGATACATTGTACTATATCTCTCTCTCTCCTTGCAGAGAGAAAAAACAACTGTTTGTAAAAAAAAAAAAAAAAAAAAAAAATATATATTAAAAAATAAATAAAATATAACTAGATCAAAGTTTGATCTAGTTCAGTGCCAGGGTTAGTTTTTCGGTCAAGGTCAGGGTCCAAGGTCAAAAGTTAGGGCCACAGGTCAGGAATTTTTTTTTTAAATTGGTATCATTGTCAGTGTGTTTTAGGTATATAAACAAAAAACAAAATGCACACTGTTGTTTCTGGGTTATAGTACAGGTACAAACAACAAATAACATACACATATATGGTATCACTGTGATCATCAAGAGCTGGAAAATGTATTTTGGGTTGTTCTTTGGTGGTAGGTTATGGTAGTAATGAGAAACACGCAGCTAAATTAAAAGAAAATATATATTTTTTTTACTATTTTGGGCCAGTTTTCCTTTGATAATAAAAAAAAATCAGGAGATAACCATTACCATTTACCACCAAATCAAAACCCAATTTGTCCTGAAAAAAAAAAACAGGTATAATTCACCTGGAGGTACAAAGTAGCTGTGATGATATGTACGGTTTTACTAACACATGTCAAAGTTGTAAAATTTTACTTAGGCTTTAAAATTTGTTTTACCTTTAGGTGTGAAGGGGTTAAAATAATGATTTTTGAATGTCCACAGTCAAGTTCATTTGCATTGTTCCTTCAGACCTGCTTGTAACATGTGAGCCAATACTGGGATATCTACACAGACGCCGATTACCGCTCTGCCCCCAGAGCTTACCTTCTTATATATTATTTTAACAGAATTGGAAAACAACATTACACATTTAATGGCAGGTTTTGGTGTTGTTAAAGCTTGTTTTCAGAGAGAGCAGGACCTTTTCTTAACACATTTAAATGCAGTAAAGAAGCTTCCAATCATAAAACAAAACAGCAGGAAGTAAGGAAATGCAAACATTTACTAGCCAGCATAGTATATTAGCAGTGAGCATGCAAGGCTTTTTAGTTCTGATATTAGTAAATAATTTTAAAGTTTAAATGTGTTAATTACATTTATTCCCAGCGCACATAGAGGATTACAATTCAGTATTGTTAAATGATGCTAGATATCTCTTCAGGAATGTAAACTTTAGGATGAACTGCTTCATTAAACCCTAAATTTGTTTTTGGAGTGCATTTTCTGTGTAATAAATCATAAGCTGTGGGGAAACAACTTTAATAATGAGAACACAGAATTAGGTCAGCAAAGAACAGGAATTTTCAAGACATCTGAAATTAATTTTAATACTTTAAGACAAAAATTATTGTATAAAGAAAAAGTATGCCTATTTCCTTATCATCATTAGCAGTTTCCTAAAGTGAAACTGTACCTTTAGTGGAATTGCACTTATATTGTAGTGCTTCCCATCCCTACCTGTCCCTGTTCCAGTTAGAATTGGCTGAATAAATCACACAGCTGCTTGTCAATATCTTCTTGGCTTGGCCTCTGTCTGCCCTCTGCACTTTCATTCATTCATACTGCCCCGAACTGCATCACTGACCTAATATCCAAGTACCGCCCAGCACGCACACTCCGCTCCTCACAAGACCTCCTCTCTAGTTCCCTGGTCTCCTCCTCCCATGCCCGCCTCCAGGACTTCTCCAGGGTGTCACCCATCCTCTGAAACTCCCTGCCCCAACCCATCAGATTATCACCTACTCTCCTCTCCTTTAGGCGCACCCCCTGAAAACCCATCTCTAGGGAAGCCTACCCCACCCCCTGCTAACTTGCCAACCTCCTCCACTCTTCCTACCACTCCATCCCCCACAGCTATCTCCTCCTGTACCACTATCCCCTCCCTCCTAGATTGTAAGCTCGAAAGAGCAGGGCCCTCAATCCCCTCATGTTTTGCATTGTATTGGTATTGTTCTGTCACATGTTCTGTCCCCCTTTGTAATGTACAGCAATTGAGCGAACTATTGGCGCTTTATAAATACTGTATAATAATAATAATAATTCCAATGGAGAGGAAATCCAGAGAAAGAGCTTCTGCTTGCGTTTTTGTAGAAATGAATGGAGAGTTTAGAATGCATGTGTACTCTAGCACAGGATTAGGTACAGGTCAGTATTCTACTGGCAAAGGGTTCTGGGGGGATATTAAGACAAAGGAGATTATTGTGGATTTCAGAGGAGCTGGTAATCACACCCACGCTCCCATTAACATCAATGGAGCTGTTGTTGAGCGTGTTAACAGCTTTAAGTTTCTTGGAATCCACATTTCTGAGGATCTCACCTGGTCTCTGAATTCTTCCTTCCTGATCAGGAAGGCTCAACAGCGCCTATATTTTCTGAGGAAACTTAAAAAATTCCATCTGTGCTACAGGATATTGGAGAATTTTTATCATTGTACTATTGAGAGCATCGTCACAAATTGCATCTTAGTGTGGTACAGCAGCTGCACTGCTTCAGACTGCAAAACTCTTCAGAGGGTGGTGAAAAATGCCCAAAGAATTATTGGTGTTCAGCTTTCCACCTTGGAGGACATTTACAAAAAACGCTGAGTACAAAGGGCAAGGGTCATCATTAATGATGCCTCTCACCCTAACCAAGGACTGTTCATGCTCCTTCCATTGGGCAAACAATACAGGTGTCTCAGAACCCGTGAAATAGACTGAAAAATAGTTTTTTCCCTGTGGCTGTTAAAGCATTGAACAGCTAATCATTAGACAATATTGCATTACTATATATTTTATTCACCATTGCATTACTGAATATTTCATCCATTATTGCACTACTCATTGCACCAATTATGGTATTACTGTATATCCCACACCCCGATTTTTATTATATTGTTATTTATTGTAAATGGGCCATTTATGCACTTCTGGCTGGATGCTAACTGTATTTCATTTGCTCTGTACATGTACTTTGCTCAATGACAATAAAGTTGAATCTAAAATAATCTAATCTAAATATATTTTAAGATGTATCAACATATTGCACTGATTTTTCTTATTTTATCTGATATCATATAGGTAAAAGTTTCCATTTTTGTTATGTATGTCCAAGCTAATGTAAAAACCTCCATTAGTTAAATAGCAAATGTAATATTCATCTATCCATTTTTAAAATGGTGCTATGCATATTTACCAGTTATCCTTTGCAAAAAAATTAAAAATTGAAACTTCATTTATTAAACTACTTGGTGTCTTGATATCATCTCCTCTTGAGTTACGAGGTATGGGTGTTGGGTGTGTGTGTAGAGAAGGCCTTGCTGAACTTCAGGGATCCAGACTGGATTGGGCGGCTTAGTGGAGAAGGAAAGAAAGACTGCAGACCACTGATTTCGCTGTCAACCAGGATAGTCAATCCTGCAGACAGGCAAATAGTAATGCTGTCATCGGCATAGCTTCTTAACAGTGGGACCAAGCTGGGGCGGACTGACAACTCATGGGGCCCCCGGACAATAGGGGATCATGGGGCCCCTGTGTCCTCCCCCACACCCAAAAAAGCTTATGAAAAAGCCAATGAAAGGTACCAGGGGCAGTGCCCGAGTGCTCAAATGGTCAGTCCGCCCCTGGGACCAAGACAACACGGGACCCCCCAACAAAGAGACTACCTCTTACTTTGCAAAGGCTACAAACCGGGTGAGAGGGTTCCATAACTTAGATCAGGGGTCCTCAAACTTTTTAAACAGGGGGCCGGTTCACTGTCCCTCAGACCGTTGGAGGGCCGGACTATAGTTTAAAAAAAACCCACTATGAACAAATGCGGACACAGTACAGGAGATGACCAGAGACTGCGGACATAGTACAGGAGATGGACCAGAGACTGCGGACACAGTACAGGGGATGACCAGAGACTGCGGACATAGTACAGGAGATGGACCAGAGACTGCGGACATAGTACAGGAAATGACGAGAGACTGCGGACACAGTACAGGAGATGACCAGAGACTGCGGACATAGTACAGTGGATGACCAGAGACTGCGGACACAGTACAGGAGATGACCAGAGACTCCGGACATAGTACAGGAGATGGACCAGAGACTGCGGACACAGTACAGGAGATGACCAGAGATTGTGGACATAGTACAGGAGATGACCAGAGACTGCGGACAGTACAGGAGATGACCAGAGATTGTGGACATAGTACAGGAGATGACCAGAGACTGCGGACAGTACAGGAGATGACCAGAGATTGTGGACATAGTACAGGAGATGACCAGAGACTGCGGACACAGTACAGCAGATGACCAGAGACTGCAGACACAGTACAGGAGATGGACCAGAGATTGCGGACAGTACAGATGACCAGAGACTGTGGACAGTACAGGGGATTACCAGAGACTGCGGACATAGTACAGGAGATGACCAGAGACTGCAGACAGTACAGGGGATGACCAGAGACTGTGGACACAGTACAGGAGATGACTAGAGACTGCGGACACAGTACAGGAGATGACCAGAGACTGCGGACATACAACAGCGGCAGGAATACTGGGCCGGCTGCTCTATAAGACGCACAGACATTTCCCCCCAAGTGTGTCTTATGGAGCGAAATAGTGCCCCATCATTGGTGTCAGTGGGAAGAAACGTGCCCCATCATTGGTGTCAGTGGGAAGAAACATGCCCCATCATTGGTGTCAGTGGGAGGAATAGTGCCCCATCATTGGTGTCAGTGGGAGGAATAGTGCCCATCATTAGTGTCAGTGGGGGGAGGAATAGTGCCCCATCATTGGTGTCAGTGGGAGGAATAGTGCCCATCATTAGTGTCAGTGGGGGGAGGAATAGTGCCCCTTCGTTGGTATCAGTGGGGGGAGGAATAGTGCCCCATCGTTGGTGTCAGTGTGGGGGGGGGAATAGTGCCCAGTCATTGGTGTCAGTGGTGGAATGGGATAGTGTCCCATCATTGGTGTCAGTGGGAGTAATAGTGTCCCATGATTGGTGTCAGTGGGACGAATAGTGACCCATCTTTGGTGTCAGTGGGAGGAATAGTACGTCATTGGTGTCAGTGTGGGGAATAGTGCCCCGTCATTGGTGTCAGTGGGGGGGGATAGTGTCCCAACATTGGTGTCAGTGGGAGGAATAGTACCCCATCATTGGTGTCAGTGGGGGAAGGAATAGTGTTCCATCGCTGGTGTCAGTGGGGGGTGGAATAGTGCCCTATCGGTGTCAGTGGGGGGGAGGAATAGTGCCCCATCGTTGGTGTCAGTGGGGGGAGGAATAGTGGCCCATTGTTGGTGTCAGCGGGGGGAGGAATAGTGCCCCATCATTGGTGTCAGTGGGAGGAATAATGCCCCATCATAAGTATCAGTGACACCAATGATGGGGCACTATTCCTCCCACTGAAACCAATGACACTTAACTTGCTGACCCCTGTTCCAGCATGGTGCTGCTGCAGCCAGCATACCTGGTTGCAGCAGCACCATCAGCACGGCACACTTACCTGTCAGCTGTCCTTCACTCCGGACTCTCCTTCACTCGATGTTCGCGGGGCCACTTGGCTCCGCCTCCTCGCAGGTGATTGGCCGCCTGTGTGCCTTTCCTGAGCTACAGTTTTGGCGCCCAATCACCGGTGAGGAGGCGGAGCCAAGCGGCAACGCGAACATCGAGTGAGGGAGTGGCCGGAGTGAATGAAGGAGCAGCGCTTCCTGGACTGGATCGTCGTGGGACTGGGACACGGGGCCAGGTAAGATACAGCAGCCCCCTGCCCGCCCCTGTACTTAGTGTCCCTTCCTCACGGCAAATACGCCCCTGCCGGCGGGCCAGATGAATGTCCTCGGCGGGCTGCATGTGGCCCGCGGGCCATAGTTTGAGGACCCCTGACTTAGATCATCACAAATTACAATTGACTGTGTAATTTCACTTGTTCAGTTCAGTACACCTTACACCACAGATTATCACATTGAGACCCAGATTGCCTAGCCCATTCAGTTTCCGGCCTACTGCTTTAGTGTCTCACTAAAATCATGAACCCGCAGGACTCCTGCAGACAGGATTACACTACTCTTGCATTTCAAGCCTCTTCTAGCCCAAAATGAACTTGATTATGCAGGAGATTTGGGTTTACTTAAAGTGATACTGTGCCTTATTACTTTGTTGAACCTTTTAGAGTGTTTATTTTTTTAGAATTTTTTTGCACATCTACTATCATTCTTTGTTGTGCTTGCACTCTTTATACTTTGACTTCAATGCAATTAGAATATCTGCTCATCTTAAACTGCGTGTTTATTTTATGGTACAAAACTAGGGAGTCCTCCTGTTCAAAGTTTCTCGGTGGTATCAGCTGTACTTCCAAAGCAGGCACAGAACAGTCAGTGAACCCAAAAATACTCAGTGGCTTTAAAGGGGGTAGCAGTACACTAGGCATGAGAGCACAGAGTGGTCAGTTTTCTGGCTAGGATGAGAACTCAGGCTGCACTCACCCTCTCCAGCACAGTTATTTACTAAGAAGATCACTGTGCTGCTGTTTCACCTCCGTGAGCTCCTTATGCAGCTTAGAACAAAATGTATGTGATCACTTACATTAAAAAAAATGAAAAAAGGGTATTTAAAATTGTTTTTGATATTTTATTGTTTTGCCTTTAATTTCTATTTTAAACTGAATGGGTTGTATACAGAATGAGGATTTACATATACTTTAAATTCAAGTAATATAAGTACCTGAATTTGGCACAGTTCCTGTATTGACACAGCTAGAGTGTGACGGGACAAAGCAGTACCAGAAGCCAATCAGTTTTTTATGCTGCCAAGAAGCTTGCTGATAGGAAGATAAAGCAGAGTGACAGAAAGATGAGTTCATTACTATACAGCTTTGCTTCTCATTTAACCTGTGCAGATTGGAGGATGTGTTGGGGACGACCTGGTACCCGAGACCTCAACCCAGAGCAGGGGTGGACTGACAACTCATGGGGCCCCCGGGCAATAGGGGATCATGGGGCCCCTGTATCCTCGCCCACACTCAAAGCACACCCAAAAAAGCCTATGAAAGGTACCAGGGGCATCTTATGGGGCCACCTACTGACCCCAGGCCCTCGGGCAGTGCCCGAGTTCCCAAATGGTCAGTCCGCCCCTGGCCCAGAGACAATGTATAAAAATGCTGGCCATAAGACTAAGGACATCTAATAGCAGATAAAAACAGCAAGGAAGATTTCTGGATCAAAGCTGAATATTGCAGAAAAAACTGGCTTTGCCATTTCATTTTTTTTCTCCAGTGTTTCATTATTGGATTTTTTAAAAAGTGGGAGAAAAACATACAAAATGGACCTTCAAGTCAAAAAAGTAAATGTACACATATTGTCCATATGTTCAGATAACAATATTATATAATGTCAAATATCTGTCTTGCATATAATTGGGAAAAGGTTGGTATAGAGATGCCTATCTCAGTGTAAAAGAAAACAATCAGAAGTGATAACAAAAATGGAAAAAGAAAAATAAATATATAGCAAATTGTCAGAATATCACAAGCATCAAGTAGCTCATAGAAAGACACATATAGAAGAAATCAGATTCAGCTTAGCAGGTGACTGCATTCAATCATAGATTGTGTGATTAATCATATACCATTATGGCCCATTGCTGCCATAATGTCATAACAAGAATAGGTCCCAGTGCTTGAAGCCAGCATAGTTTCATATGTATAATGTATATACACCATTTTAATAATTTCAGATATGTCAGATTTCCAGTGCCGTACTATAGGTAGTCTACTGTAGATGCTAGAAATACATGGGTTACCATGTTTCTTGATGGGGGGAGATCCTCAATGTGAAATATTCCTTATTTAATAAGTTAAATTCATCCTGTAAGGCTGTGGAAGTATATAGGTCATTTTGTATTCAGATACCACTTAAAGTCCATCTAGTTAAAGATAGATTTGGTATAAGAAGACTATAGAATTCTAATTTGTTATAAGGAACAGGTAGTAGTTCAGCACTGAGTGTTCTCGCCAGGAGCTTATCTTTCATAGGGAAGAAATGTATATGCATTAACACATCTCTCGGTACTTGATCAGGTATGTGAGATGGTCTACGCAAATGATGGATTCTTTCAATAATCAGCTCAAAAACATTTAGATCAGGCAGTAAAAGCAGTGAGGAGATTACATGCATATTTACTTAACTAGTTCCTGCCTGTCCTATCATAGAGTGACGTTTTGGGAGGATGTCATATGACATCCTCCCATTTTTGCCATGGGCTCTGTCTCAAAAAAATGATAGAAATTTTGTTCTGGTACAGTGTTGCATGACCGCACATTTGCCATTCAAAGTGCAACAGCACTAAAAGCTGAAAATTGGCCTGGGCAGAAGGGGGGTGAAAGTGCCCAGTAATGAAGTGGTTAAATCAGCTTGTTGAACCATCTCAGGTAATCCTCTTATTTTCAGGTTATTCCACCTAGATCTATCTTCTAGGTCAGACAGTTTTGCTTTAATCCATTTGTGTTCATCGTCATTTTCATTTTGAACATCTACAAGAAAATTTATAGTATTAGCAAATTCATCCATTTTTTCAATATGGTCCACTCAAGACCCAATAGCTTGTGGCTGGGAGTTAAATTTACTTTTTCCTTTAGAGATTATAGATCTTTCAATATAGAACCTTTATTTCCCCAACTTAAAACCAAAACACAGATGTGGGCCAAGCTCCCACTAAGAGTCATGGGCATAATAAAGCTCATTAACCACTTCAGCTCCAGAAGATCTACCCTCTTCAAGAGCAGGCCATTTTTTGCTGTTAGGCACTGTACTATTTCAACTGGTAATTGCATGGTCATGCTGTACCCAAGCAAAATTTATGTCCTTTCTCCACACAAATAGAGGTTTCTTTTGGTGGTATTAGATCGCCACTGGGTTTTTTATTTTTTGTGGTAAAAACAAAAAAAGACCAAATTAAACTATTTTCTACTTTAGTTTATAAAAATGTCCAATAAACTCAATAAACTAAAATGCCAGGGCAGTACACAAACCCCCCCCCCCCCCCAAATGATCCCTTTTTGGAAAGTAGACACTCCTAGGAATTTGCTGCGAGGCATGTTGAATCCAGGGAAGATTTAAATTTTTTGCCACAAATTTTTGCAAAATAACATTTTTGATTTTACACAAAGTTGTCACTTAAATGAAATATTTCCCAAGTATGCCATGAGTATATGTGGAATAACACCCCAAAACACATTCTGCTACTTCTGCCAAGTATGGGGATACCACATGTGAGAGACTTTTTGGCAGCCTAGCTACACACAGGCCCCAAAAATTCAATGGCCACCTTCAGGCTTTCAAAGGGCATATTTCCTTATGTCAATTTCTCACTGCCTATCACAGTTTCGGAGGCCCTAAAATGCCAGGATAGTACAACCCCCCCCCCAAATGAACCCTTATTGGAAAGTAGACACCCAAAGGAATCTAATAAGAGGCATGGTGGGTATTTTTTAGGTATAATTTTTTGTCACAAGGTTTTGAAAAAAAAAAAAAAAAAAAAAATTTTTAATTTATTTTCTTCATTTTCCAAAAACTTGTGGCACTAAACAAGATCTGCAAAATACTCAACATGCCCCTTATCAAATTCCTTTGAGTGTCGACTTTCCAAAAAAGTGGGGGGATGCATCTACTATCCTGGCATTTGTGTGCCAACATCAGAAGTTTTTGCTGCACACTGCCCACTCTTCTAACCACTTGAAGACCAAGCCTTTTCTGACACTATAAAATTACTTTGAACCCCTACACATTATACATTTTTTTTAAAGCAGAGGCCCTAGAGAATAAAACCGTGGGTGTTGCAATTTTTTCCATGTCACACAGTATTTCCACAGCAATTTTTCAAACTCAATTGTTTGGGAAAAAATACATTTTTTGAATTTTAATGCACAAAAACACAATATATTGCCCTAATATTTGATAAAATATAAAAGATGATGTTATGCTGAATAAATAGATACCAAACATTACATACTTTAAAATTACGCATAGGCGAAGCTTTAAAAGCCTTTACAGGTTACCACCTTAAATTTTCACAAGAGGTATAGTGCTATAATGACTGCCCTTGATCTGATGTTCGTGTTGATACTTCACATGCATGGTGCAATCTTTGTTTACATACCGACAAAGGACCAATGCTTACGTTTGCCTTTTTGCGCAAGCACGGTATGGGGTGATTCTTTCAATTCATTTATTTAGTTTTTTTCTCATTTTTACACTGTCCCTTTCATTTTTTAAATCACTTTTATTATCACAGGGAATGTAAATATCCCCTGTGATAGCAATAAGCAATGATAGGT